TCCGGCCCTTCTCTGGGGGGGGGGGGGGGCAGATTTTCCGTTTGTGTTTTCTTCCACGCTGGGGCCTGGAGGACATGAGGCAGCTCTGGAGTGTTGACCCTTCTCTCTTTCTTTTTCCATTCACTTTTTAAAAAAATTTAATTTAAAATATATTAAAGGGAAGGGCCGACCCCGTGGCTCACTCGGGAGAGTGCGGCACTGGGAGCACAGCGGCACTCCCGCCGCGGGTTCGGATCCTATATATATATATATATATATATATTGAATATAATGACCTGCTCCCTCCTGCTCGTGCCCAGTCCCCTCGCTGGGAGCAGCTGCTGGGAGTAGGGTGTGTGTCTCTTGGTGGAGATGTCTTCTGAGTGCACAAACACACACATATGTGCGCACACACGTGCTCACACACTCACATGCACTCACACATACACGCTCACACTCATGCACTCGCACATACACGCGCGTACACGCTCCTACCCACGTGCACTCGCACACGTGCACTCACACACACTCCCACTCACATGCACACTCACACACAGGCTCCCACTCACGTGCACTCGCACACGCGTGCTCACACACACTCCTACTCACACGCACACTCACACACAGGCTCCCACTCACATGCACTCGCACACGTGCACTCACACACTCCTCACGCACACTCACACACAGGCTCCCACTCACGTGCACTTGCACACACGTGCTCACACACACTCCTCACACGCACACTCACACAAGGCTCCCACTCACATGCACTCGCACACGTGCTCACACACACTCCTCACACGCACACTCACACAAGGCTCCCACTCACATGCACTCGCAAACGTGCACTCACACACACTCCTCACACGCACACACAGGCTCCCACTCACGTGCACTCGCACACGTGCTCACACACACTCCTCACACGCACACACAGGCTCCCACTCACGTGCACTCGCACACGTGCTCACACACACTCCTCACACGCACACTCACACAAGGCTTCCACTCACATGCACTCGCACACGTGTGCTCACACACACTTCTCACACACTCACACACAGGCTCCCACTCACGTGCACTCGCACACGTGCTCACACACACTCCTCACACGCACACTCACACAAGGCTCCCACTCACATGCACTCGCACACGTGCGCTCACACACACTCCTTCTCACACGCACACTCACACAGGCTCCCACTCACATGCACTCGCACACGCGTGCTCACACACACTCCTCACACACACACACAGGCTCCCACTCACATGCACTCGCACACGTGCACTCACGCACACTCCTCACACGCACACTCACACACAGGCTCCCACTCACGTGCACTCGCACACACGTGCTCACACACACTCCTCACACGCACACACACAGGCTCCCACTCACATGCACTCGCACATGCGTGCTCACACACACTCCTTCTCACACACTCACACACAGGCTCCCACTCACATGCACTTGCACACGTGCACACACACTCCTACTCACGCACACTCAGACAGGCTCCCACTCACGTGCACTCGCACACACGTGCTCACACACACTCCTCACACGCACACTCACACAAGGCTCCTACTCACATGCACTCGCACACGTGCACTCACACACACTCCTACTCACACGCACACTCACACACAGGCTCCCACTCACGTGCACTCGCACACGTGTGCTCACACACGCACTTGTTCCCTCTCACCCTGTGCGGTGGAGGAGTCTGTGCAGCCGCCCTCACCTCACTCTCACTTGATACACGAGGTTGCCCTGGATTGCGTGGGGCGCTTTCTCCTGCTCCAGTGGGGTGTGCTCTTCCTTCTGTTTCACGGGCTGCTCCAGCTTTACTTACCTAGCCTCTCTAGGGGGGCATCCTGGCTGTTCCCAGTGCATAGGTACTATTTTTATTAATCACTTTTTGATCATTCCAGCCTAATGCAAGAGACTGTCCTGATCCCAAAAGCATACTTGGTGGGAAGCAGCTATCCCTTCTGCCCCAGCTACCCTGATCCAAAGTCAGCAACTTTTTGGGACTGGCTGGTGACTCACTTGGGAGAGCATGGTGCTGACAACACCAAATCAAGGGCTAAGATCCCCTTACCAGTCATCTTTTTAAAAAGAAAAAAAGAAAAAAGCACCTTTTTTTGCTCTCTAGTATTGCCATACAGAGACTCTGCATGCCCAGTCCCTGCTGCCAAAGTATTCTGATCTGCCTGTATCAGGGCTTCGACCTGGGTTCAGGCCCCAAGGGCGGGTGCCCAGCCACCGTACGTAAATATGCCCCGAGTGCCTGCTATACCCCAGACCCTGCCAGGCACCAGAGTCACAGGAGGGACCCAGGTGAACGACCCCTGCATACTTGCAGCCCCTAGGCCAGGCATGACAGCTGGAGAGACCAGGTCTAGCTGGAGGCTCCCAGCTCTCTTCCAGGACTGGAAGTCGGCACTGGACTGAGAGTTTGGTGGGGCTCTTCTGGGGGTGGAGGGAGCTGACAGGGGGCACTGAGGCTCAGCTCCCCATTGCCTCCAGGCCCCAGGAGGAGCTGCATGTGGAAGAGGACCTGCAGCAGATCACGGTGCAGGTGGAGCCTGCATGTAGCGTGGAGATTGTGGTCCCCAAGGAGGAGGAGGATGTGGGGTGAGTGTGGGCTCAGTGGGAGGTCAGGGCACCCCCCAGCCATTGTGGCCCTGGAAGAGCCAACAGCGTCCAGAGATGTTGTCACGAAGTAGTTCTTTCTTACCCTACGGAAAGTTAGTGATTTTAATTTTTCCATGATCTAAGATTCAACCAACTGCGGGTGAGTCTGCCCCCCAGGGGACAGTGGGCATTTCTGGGGACATCTGTGGCTGTCACGACTGGGGGAGCTCCTGGTATGGAGTGGGTGGAGGCTGCTCAGCACCTGCAGTGCCCACAGTGGCCCCACCACAGAGAAGGATCCAGCCCCAAATGTCAGAGGAAGAGAGAGCCTGGGCTAAGTGTCTCTTGCAGCGTATCTCAACTTCAGTGTTTAAAGATTTTTTTGTTTGCCTTTTTAGTATTTATTTCTAATTTTATTGAGGTTTTTTTTATTGTTTTTTGGCAGCTGGCTCGTAAGGGGATCCAAACCCTTGACCTTGGCAGTGTTAGCACTGTGTTCTCCTGACTGCTGGTTTTATTGTTTTGATTTGAAGAAAGTGTTTTGTTTTTGTTTTGTTTTAATAGATCAAAGTGTTTATGGTCAAGTACAAAGCTGTTTTTTTTATGTCTATGGACATATGGAAAAAATGTATGTTTGCTGATAAGGGACGGAAGGTTCTCTGTGAGACTATTATGTCCAATTTATTGATGATTTTCATTCAGTTTTTTCATTTGTTTACTTGTTTTTAATGTGTTTGGTGTGTGTGAGTCTGTAATTGTGACATTACCTAATTGGCTTTCTTGCCTTTCTGATGGTTTTTGTTTTCTGTGATTTTCTAGGTTTTATAGGTGTTCTTTGGTGATGTGAGACCTTTACTGGTTAATATAAAACTTTGTCTCTGGTTGTGGGTACTTTGTTTTTCCTTTCAGTTCTGTGTTGGATTATTTGCTGTTCCCACCACTTAAACTCTGCGCTGGAACTAATTTGTTGTCCTTTGCTTACTTCTGAAATGGGGGGACTTCCTGTGGGGACCAGCACTTGAGCTCTGTGGTTGAGCTAAATTGCTTCCTTGCTGCTCAATTCCTGCTTTTTGTGCAGCTCAGGGTTTAATTGTTGACCTTGTAAGCACTTCCCAGTCTTGTGAGGTCTGGTGCACCTGGGTTGTGTGGACACTCTGGTCTGGGCCTGAGTCTTTTCAGCAAACTGTACCCCTGCAGTTCTATATTCCTGACCAGTCTATGAAGAGTGGGCCTGTGCTGCCTGGAGGGCAGATCAGCTGTCCTTGCTGTGCCCCAGTGTTCCCCCTGGTGGGCCCATCTCCCCACCCCCAACACTCCAAACCCTTCCCATGTGGTGGGCCATGTGCTGGTCTCTTGCAGTGACTCACTGGCCCCTGAGTGGCTCCTTTTTTCAGTTGTCTGTGGCCCCTCACACCTGTGTGGGTCCATGGGAACCCTGTCAGTAGTTTTGCTGGCCTAGGGGCCACCAAGGCCCTCTTCTCTCCTGCCACCTCCAAGCAACTTCTTACAAAGGGCACAGCTGCGGCTTTTACCAACTCCTGCTTCATGCGCTCAGCAGGGCCAGCCTTGACGCGACCAGGATCTGCAGTGATGGGAGCGGTCCTTTCTTTCTCTCATCGTGGCTTCTCCCACCTTCATGCACTCTGTAGGTCTCTCCTCCTCTTCCCCTGAGCTCTAGTGGCCCCAGCTTGACAGTCGTTGCTTTTTAATAGTTGTAAACTGGTTGATTGTGGGTGAGGGTGATGCTGGGGACCGTCTATTCTGCCATCTTGATTGGAAGTCTCATTTTTTATTATTTTCCATTTTTCTTTCAAGAGACCCTATTTAGGGCCTTTAGCACAGATTCCCAGGCTGTGCTTTGCCACTGAGAGTTTGTTTTATACCTGTGCACACACATGGTCCTGTCACCAGCAGCTTTTTGCCATTAACTGAGTCTCACAGTATAAACTTTCATTCCGTGTTTGCCAAAAGCAATTGTCTTAGTCCATTTTCTGTTGCTTGTAACAGAACACTTGAAACTGAGTAATTTATTAAGGAACAAAATGTATTTCTTACAGTTCTGGAGGCTGGGAAGTCCAAGGGCAAGGGGGCACATCTGGTGAGGGCGTTCTGGCTGGTGGGGACTCTCTGCAGGAGTCCCGAGGTGGTGCAGAGCATCACATGGCGAGGGGCTGAGCGTGCCAGCTGAGGTCTCTCTTCCTCTTATAAAGCCGCCAGTCCACTGCCACGATAATGTGGCATTAAGTTTCAATAGGGGTTAAGTTTCAACTGGAGTTTTGGAGGACATAAATGTTCAAGCCATAGCAACACCTTCACCTCGAACTTGACAGGAGAACCAGTCCTTAGCGTCATTTGGGAGTGAACATGACAGCCATCAGCTACGGCCTTGGGCAGGCTCCTTGCCTTCTCTCTGAGCTCGTCTCCTTGACTGTAATACGGGGACAGAGGCAGCATCTCCTCCCTGCCCACCCCCCCATGATGGAGTGGGTTAACTCACAGAAGGCTCTGGAACCAGCCCTGGCATGTAGTAAGTGCTCAGTGAAAAGGAGAGAGATGTTCTGACCCCATGGATGTCGATACTGCGTTTTCCACTGTACAGATGGAAACTGAGGCTCAGAGAAGGAAAGTGACCTACCAGGGTTGCACAGGTGGGGTTTCTTTTTCTGCGTGGAATGGAATTTCTCAGGGTACACTGCCTGTAGCCAGCTGCCTGGGACTTTTGTCTCAATTGTGATGTGAGGCAGTTGCAGCCCTGCCCTGGATCCTGAGACAGGAGGGAGAGGGGAGGACTGGTTAGGGGTCAGGAGTGTGGGTGCTGCCCAGAGCCTGCCTGGGACTCCTCATCTGCCCCATGTCCCCAGGGTGGAGGCTTCCTCGGCCGGTGCCTCTGCTGCTGTGGAAGCAGAAACTGCCAGCCAGGCCTCGGAGCCTGCCAGCCAGGCCTCGGATGAGGAGGACGCGCCTGCCACTGACATCTACTTTGTAAGTCCCTTCAGGGCCTTTGTGGCTGCCCCGTCAGCCAGACGCACGTGCTCCCAACTGTCAGCACACCCCCACGCCCTTGCACACCTACCGGCACACTCGTGACATGCTCTCGTGTGTGCGCGCGCACGCACACACACACACACACACACACGTGCACACACACACCCTGCCAGTCCCTTTCACACTCATGCTTTCTGGTCTAGCCACTTGGGGTGGGCGCCTCCTGCCCTGCGCCATCAAGTCCTGGTCTTTCCAAGGCCCTGGACCGCTACTCTTCTCCCCAGACAGCCGTGCCACCCCGTCTCCCTGGGGATCGGCTAGAGTCCTCAAACTCTTGGCCCCAGTGGGCTCCATGGGGAGGCCCAGGCAGAGGCTGAAGCCCTGGGTCCCTGGCTGCCCTGGGTCAGCCAGGCGCAGCTGGAAGTGGTGTAGACTGTCTCCCTCTCTCGTGGTGGGTGTGGCCGGGTGGGCTCCATCCTCAAGGAGGGCAGGAACCTGGGCAAGTGGCAGATGGGCTCCCCACTGCCTCCTCCACTGGCCGGGGACATGGGCTGCTCCTGGACGAGGCTGGGTCTGCCCCAGCCTTGGGGCTCAATCTAGCGACTCCCCAGCAGTGGGTCCCAGGGCCACCTCCACCTGGGGCCCCCCTGAAACAGGGAGGGCCAGAGACCACTGCCCCCGGCTGCTTCATAACTAACAACCCCTGCTCTGTCTCCAAGCTGTTCTCCTGGGGTCTGGGCGCCCCACCCAGCCCTGGAGGAGGAAGGTGGGGCGTGGGCCTGTCCCCCACCCACATGGAAGCCCCTGCCCTGGGGCGTGGTGTATGTCTGTCCTGGTCTTTGGATGGTGTGAGGCGGCCCCTCGGGGGGCCTGGGTCCTGCTGTGTGTGTCTGTCTCCTGACACCCGGGTGGGTGGCAGAGAAGGTAGCAGGCCTCCGTCAGACTCCCCAACCCCGTGCACCCCCCACCTCCCGCTTTGGCAGTTGGCTTGTCTCCCAGCCCCGCCAGTCCCCACCAGCCCCCTGCTGTCTCTCACCGCCTCTGTCCCCGCCTGACTGACCAACGGGTTCCTGTCCCCTCATCCTCTGTCCTCTGTTTTCCTTCCTCCTCCCGCCCGGCCCGTGCAGTTCACGGATGGGAGGTACTGGATTTACTCTCCCCGTCATCGCCGACTGCGGGCCGTGACGCTGAGCTCCTCGGGGACTGTAAGTGACCGCAGCTGGCCACACCGGGGAGAAGGGGCGTTGCCCACTGCAGGGCAGCAGCAAGCTGCAGGTCCCTGGTCTAGAACGCAGTGCCCGACGTCCCTTTTTTTCCAGGAGGTCTTTGGGGAAATAGTAACTGCGGTCGAGGTTAGGCAGTGTGCAGCGCTGCAGGCATCGCATGAGAATGTCACTTGATACTGGGCAGTAGCAGGTGCTCAATAATGGACGCCATCTGAGGGGACGCCAGGCCCGGCTGCCATGGGGTCTGCCCATGAACCTCATCCCAGCCCTCCCATGTTAGGGCATGTTGAGTGGATGCTTGTCAATTGTCCAGACCTGGCTGGCCACGGATTCTAAGGAGCATTTGCCTCAATCACAGGGACGGTCACATGGGTCAGCAGAGCTGCTGGGACAGGGAGGAGCTGGTGTCTCCATACCCACCTCAAGGATGGAGAAATTGAGGCCTTGGCTCCCTAAGGAGCTGTGAGAGTGCATGGTTTAGACAAAGTCCAGGTCCCCAAGCTCTCCAGCAGTCCCACTGTTTAGTGGATGCTCGCCCACCCAGCGTGCTGGGGACACTATGTGGGTATCATTATTGTCATTGTGAATAATAAATGGTGCACAGAGAGGCCAAGTCACCTGCCCACAGGCACACAGCACACAGAGCTGGAACGGGGTGCAGACTGCAGTGAGGGTATCTGTTCTCGAAGTGAAGCCCCTCAGAAGCTGCCCCCACCCCTGTGATTCCATCAGCCCTTGAGGCTGGCTGGTTTCTCAGTTGGTTAGAGCATGGTGCTGATAACATCAAGGTCCAGGGTCCATCCCTGTACTGGCACCCGCCAAAGAAAATAGCCTCTGAGCAGCACCAACACCCTGTGGGGTGACCCCTTTCCCAGCTCCTCCTGTCACCTTTTATCCAGCCAGGGAAGCCACAGCCCAGCGATAACCCAAGAGGTGCCCATGCAGGGGTGTGGATAGACCCAGCAACCCACGGGTCCTCCAGGGAGGGGAGTCGGCCTGGGCTATGAGAAACACCTGAGTCTGCAGAGGTGAGGAGGGACGGCACCTCGAGGCTGGGAGTGCTGGAGGATGTGCCCTTGGTCCTGACCTTCATGGGGTCGCCCTGGGGTCCTGGCCCACACATTCCCTCCCTCCCTTCCCCCGCCTACCCTGGTGGTAGCTGAGGGACCCCTCTGTCCCTGCTCCCAGAGGGCAGTGTGGCTGGCTTTTGTGCCCCATCTAACGAGGTAGCGGCAGCATCCAGTTCTCCCTGTACAGGGCAGTTCAAAAGTAGGCGGCAGCTGCCAACCTCCCTCCCCTGGGCTGGCTCTTTCTGGGTTTAGGTGGGGACGCTGTTCGGTCCCATGTTTCTGAGCCCCCATGGGAACCCGCTGAGCCCTGGGTGCAGATGCTGGATCAGTCCAGAGACCCCATGCGGGGCGCCCCGGTCTGGGCTCTCAGTGGAACAGGGAGGCGGGCTCGAACCCGTGATTTCTAAGGGAGGGTTTCATGTTGCACTTGTGATCTGGCTGAAGGACCAGGGCTTGGGGTCTCCTGGCGTTGTCCCCATGGTGCCTCTGCAAGTCAGTCCTCAGGCAGCCGTCACAGGGCACGAGCAAGCTGCCCACAGTGCTCAGTGGCCCGGGTGGCCCTTGCGGGTCATGGGATCTCGCGGGAGCTACAGGAGGGTCAGGTTGAGCAGGCACAGAGTGGTGGCTTTCTGGGCAGTGGGTTCTGGGGCCAGCAGACGGGCATGTCCTGGCTACAGGTGGGAGGAGGCATGGGTTGGGCTGGGCAGCTGGTGGACAGCGCTGTCAGGACTGGACAGAGGAATGATGGGTCTGGCAGTGACTTGTTGGGCTGTGGCCATGACGAGCTTAGGAGCCACCGGTCACCTAGGTGGACGTGGCCAGGGCAGGTGCTTGTTCAGGCCTGGCTGGGTAGAAGCCCACAGACCGTCCCACCCAGAGGAGCACTGAAGGCCAGGCGGTGATGGGGAGGTCCCAGGAGAGAGGTGGCTGGGCTGGAGTCCCGAGGAAGCCTCCAGAGGTTTGGGAAAACAGGAAGTCTGGGAAGGCTTTCCCAGGAGGGGGCAGACCCAGGAGGGATGGGAGCGGGCGGGGTGCTGGAGGAACGTGCCCCCTCCCCAAATCTTACCCAGACAGAGCTGGAAAAAGTATGATGAGACTGTCCCTTGGCCAGGCCCAGGGTGGCGCTGTGGGGACCAGATGCAACTCTGCCTGCCCCCAGCCCTGGACTTGAACCCTACTGAGCCTGCTCCCCGGAAGGCGTTCTCTGTTCTCTGGCTCTCGAAAGGTGGGGGAAGGCCTGAGCTGGCTGCTCTCTGGGCCGCCCGTGCCTGGGTGTCTCCCGAACAAACCTGCGCAGGTGGAGGGGCTGAGCCCCACCCACAGGCAGCTGGACGGTGCAGGTGCGACCCAGCAGTGCGTCCAAGTCCTGAAATAGGTCAGGCGCCCGACCCCCAGGGCTCCTGGTAGAGGGTCCCCAGGACCCTGCCCACCTGGTGCCTGCATCTCAGGCAGGATTGGAGGATGGGGCAGAGCTGGGCAGGATGGAGATTAGGAAGTCCGGGAGCCGGGCGGAGGAGCAGGAGGAGCAGGTGGCGCAGGTCACACACACCCCCCACCCGCCCTTCCCTCCCATCTCTGTCACCTGCTGTCCCAGGCCGCTGCCTCAACTGAACTAACTGCTTCCTGCTGCCCACCCTGCCAAGCCAAGGGGGTCCAGGTTTAGGGCAGGTCCACGCATGAGAGAGGGCAGGCGGGGGCTGAGCCGCGCCCTCGTCCCGCGTTGGGGGATCCGCCTCTTTTATTTTCTCCTGTTTCTTCCTTCCTCCCACTGCCTCTCTCGCGCCTCCTCGCACCCTGCTCTTCTTCTGCGCCCCTCCCGCACGCGCGTGCCCGCCCGCCAGCCCACCGCCGACAGGAGCTGGGTGTACTCCCCGCTCCACTATAGCGCGCAGGCCCACCCCGCCTCCGACGGCGAGAGCGACACAGTAAGTGCGCCCCGCCGCAGAGGGGCCCGCACGGCGCGGCCCCAGACACCGGCGCGTTCAGGGAAACTGGGGCTGGGGGTGGGAGGGCGCAGGCGGGCCGTCTGACTCCG